TAGTAAAAACAGAAAGAATTCCATCTTAAAGATAAGATTGCATTTTTAAACCCAAGAAGTTAAAAAGTAAGTTTCTTAACATACTCTTTAACAAACATAATAACTCAACCTGCCTTGGGAGCAGGACAGGCAGGCTTAATTAATATGCTCCCAGACCAAGAAGCTGCTATCCTGGGAAGAAATCAAAGCAGTAGATTTCCTGTTAAGCTAACTTTTCAGAATAACCTGGAGGACTGATAAGAAACTTAGTGTCTCTTCAAAGATAAACATTTGGGAACCATTTGGTAGGTCTGCATCCCTACCCTATCTCTCAACTACCTATAAATCCCCTGGACTTACACACCACCTTGGACTCTCTTGTCCCCTTCCGGCGCAAGCCAGGAGCTCTTTCCTCTTACTTTATATCTAAATAAAAGCCTCTCACTTGCTCTCCTACCTTGAGTGTTTGTGAAGTTCATTCTTCGACTCCGTGAACAAAAACCCTGGCATCAATGTCAACTAGAGAAAATTGTCGATACAGAATATCTGGAACCTGGCCCTCTTACAGATTAACGATATTTCTAGGGCATGATGATACCCCCAACAATGTTTTGTCACAGATAGTATGGGATGTAATATGGAGCGTAAGTCATGATAAGGAATAAACAGCTTTTAGAGCAAATATATTTTAGAAAATGGTTTAATATAGTAAACAGTTACTATGACCATCAATTGAAGAATATCTTCAAATATCTCATTCTGTACTGTCATTGGAGAAATGGAGGCAAAGCTGAAAACAAAGGCCTTTTATTTTGGGTCTCAATTGCAATTCGGGAAGCACAGATCCTGTAGTAATAACCAGAAAAGTGTCCTATTAATATAGGGAAAGCAATGCGTTTTTATGAGAAAAAAGAAGGGGGGTAATTCAAGCATTAGATAAAGAAGAGAAGAGAAAAAAACTGTTAATTTGGTGATAACCAGTTAAACTGCTTTTGTTTACTCTCTGATCTGTGTACTGGTGCTATTAAATAAAACTATACTTAGTTTGCATTAGTTAACTCTTTCGTCATTATGAAGTTCTTATCAGCAGTATTATGGTGTGAACACCAGTTGTTCTGCTGGATATTATGAGCAACTGCTTGTAAAACTGACCAATTCTGGCCCAGTTCAAGAGCTCATTAGTTAGAAAGGAACATGCAGGTTCAAAATGGAGTCTCTCATGTCCAGCAATTTTATACAATTCCACAGTACATAAGGGAAATATATACTTTTCTGAAAATGAATTATGCTGTATAAATCTTGTTTAAATATCTCAAACACATTTTCCTTATAAATTCTTACACTGAAGAAAAAAAAAGCCAGAATTTACAATATACACAGCATAAAAGGTAATATGCAGTAATAAAAATACATGGATTTTTATTTGTCCTGCAGATTTTATTTTATCTGTAGATAAGATTGTGGCAAAACCACTTGTCAGTATTTCTTTAAATACCACCTGCAGAATCCAAAGAGAAGGTGATGAAGCAACTCTTTAAAAGACCCATCATTATCTTCTCCTTGCCCATAGCCTATGCATCTTCAGTTTCTCCTACTCAGTGGTAAATGACCTTTGGGCCAGAAAATTTGTAAGTCCAAAACCTTATGTAGCCTCTAACAGAGTCGTTTGTTATTCTGCCTGCTTTACTCTAAAGCTACTCTGTTACTACAACTTGGCTTGAGCAGCTGACCAGCACTGCCTGCCTATCATTTGCTTACAGTGTACCATGCATAATTTTAAATGTAGTGATTTCTAAAATGGACCATTTCAAAACAATTTAGAGCAATTCAATTTTTCAGATATTTCCAGATTTTCTAGATTATCTAAAATGCTCTCTTAATAATCTACTGTAAATAACATTCACATTAAATTTTTTAATTGGAGAAACACTTAATAATGTTATGGAAATAAACTGAATATAAAGTAGCTGTAAGCTTATCTCCATTTGGGGAGTATCATCACCAAAACAGAGTGTTTAAAATGGCTCACTCCAGAAGCAATAAAGCGTCTACTTGATGCATATTTGCTTGCTCTCAAGTAAGGCTGTATCAGAGAAGTTATTCATTTAGTTAGTGACAAATAATGTTTATACTTCTACAATTAGTTAATAACTAGAATTTGCAAGCTAAGACACCCCGTATGTCTAGCATTAAATGCTAGAATGTACTCTCATAGAGATTAATACTTACAATGTGCTAGAGGATTAAATTAGAATTTTTATATACCCATAATAGAACCTATGGCCAATTTCCCAGTGTTTTCCCCTTGCCTCTCAACATCTATCACTAACATAATATTACTTTCTCTTCGTTTTCTGTGTTCTTAAGGTAGATGCAAATAAGCACAAGATGCACAAAATGTAATCTTTTTTCTCCATCTGCTATCTGTTTTTAAAGGTCTGTATCATAAAACTTACTGCCACATAGCTGTAGCAGTCATCTTAAAAAGGATTCAAGACTATAATGTATTTTTCCTGGACTTAAAAGAAAATACTAGATAGCATTTACAACAAAACTAAATTTTTATCTTCTAAGTCTAATAACATTATTCAAAATTGTTAGAAAAGCAGTTACAACAAAAAAGTTTTTAATTCAAAAATAAAATTCCTTTTTGTGGCACTTGTCTTCGCAGAATAAAATCTTTTTTCCTCATTTTTGATGAGTACCTACACTTTAAATGGCAAAATCCATTTATCAAACATGTGATAGCATTTACAAGCATTGCGTGTGAGCCAGACTGTGGCGTAGGCCCTGCTGTAGATGACACACAGAGCACTGAGCAGAACAGAATTCTCCCTGCCTATCATGGTGCAGATGTTTTAATGGGGAAAAGATGCACCATAAACAAGCAAGCAAAATACATAGTGTTTCAGATATTAATGAGTAAAGACAAAGCACAAAGGAGACAGAAAAATGACTGGGGATGTGGTTTTAAATAGGGTGTAATGAGAAGGTGTCACCAAGAAGGCGCTATTTGAGCAAACTCTCTGAGGAAGTGATGCTCAGTTTAAATTTCTTCTAAATAACATACAGGAAAACCATCAAATAAAATTCCTGTTATATGAGCTTATGTTAACTTTCTTTAACTTAATTTAAAATGTGCTAATCTATAACAGTAACTCTGCATGATTTTGATTATAATGATTATAATTATCATACATGGCTTACCTGTGAAAAGAAGTTATTTACATAGTCATAATAATGTAAACACTAAATATTTAACCGAATAATAATCATTCAGGTCCACAATCTGAAACCCTTGGGCCAAATATGTTTCAGAATGCAAATTTGTTTAAATAATATATTCAAAAAATTTTTATAACATAGCACATCTATCATTTATTATAGAGCATTGGCAGAAAGGTCTCAGCTATCACACCCTAATGAATTGTATCAATATTTCTGCAGTGCAACACCTGGAGATTTACATTAAGCAATATGAATAAAGATTAGAAGTATTTTCTTGTCAGATTTTGCTGCTAAATGAATCAGGTTGGGTCAATTATGAAGAACCTTTTTGGATTTAGATTTGTGGGTATGGGATCATGGATTTGTCTGGGAGGAATTGGGGTGCAAGTGTTGGATGGGATGAGTGGTAAGGTAAAAAAAAAAAACCTCAATTTTCATTTTATGGTATAAAGGCAAAAGGTAATACCAAGAAACAAAAACAAAAAATCAGGAAATAATAAACCTGCTTAGCAATGTGGCAAGAAATACCAAAGAAGCTAGCTAGAGGAGCTGAAAGTGGTTGCTTCTGGGGAGGGGGAGATTGGAAAGAAGACATCCAGTCCTGCTGTTTTTCATGAGTTTCATAGAACCATTTGCCTACTTAAATATGTGCACGAATCATTTTGATAAAAACAACTCTTAAAAGTGACTGAGTGGGAGAAAATATGCCAACTGTATATCTGGCAAAGGACTTGCACTAGAATATATAAAGAACTATGAAATGTGACAGTAAAAACAAGCAATCAATAGAAAATGGGCAAGAGACATGAATAGACACTTTACCAAAGAGAATATACAGCTGGTAAATTATGTACATGAAAAGATGTTCAACATCTTAGCCATTAGGCAAATGCAAATTAAAACTACAACAATCAGAATGGCCCAGATAAAAACTAGTGATAACACAAAGAAAGCAGAGAAAATGGATTGTACATGTATTATTGCTGGTGGGAACATAAAATGGTAGCCATAAGGAAGGAGTATTGCAATTTCTTGCAAAACTAAACATACACATATGATAAAACGCAGCAGTTGCACCCTTGGCATTTATTTATCCCAGAGAAATGATAACTTATATTCATGAAAAAGTGGTACACAAATGTTTACAGTAGCTCAATTCATAATAGCTAAAAACTAAAAACAACCCTAACATGCTTTAGTGGGTGAATGGTTTAACAAACGGTGGTACATCCATATCATGGGATACTATTCAATAGTTAAAACTATTGCTACACACAATTTGGGTAGATCTGTAGGAAATTATGCTGAGTTAAACCAGAAACCTCAGAAGGTTACATACTGCATAATTCCATTTATATAATGTTACTGAAATAACAAAATATGGAGATGAAGAAAAAATTAGTGGATGCCAGGGGTTAAGGATTAATGAGAGGGAGAGGGTGGATGTGGCTATTTACACTATAAAGGGTGATGTAACAGTTCTGCATCTTGATTATGGTGGTGGTTAGCTACCCATGTAATAAAACTGTATAGAAGCTAAAACTTAATTGAAAAATAGTATTACATATATTCATTTTTATATGTGAATATAAACACACATGTTGTAAAAATATAAAGAGAATATCTGAAAGAATACTCACCACACACTGGTTGAATCTCAAGTTGGAGGAGTGGGCAGGGATTGGGGCTTGAGGTGTTTAGAGGGAACTTTGTTGTAATGTTTTCTTTTTTTAATAATTAAAAGGAAGTTGTATTTGTTATTACCTGAGTAATCGAAAATAAAAGCAAAAAAGGACTGGAGAGTTCTATACATTTATTGGAGTATCTCAATGTAGTGGCATGAAGGGGATAAAGAAGTACAAACAGCCAATTATAAAATACTTTAGTCACATGGATGAAAGTACAGCATAAAGAATATAGTCAATGATTCTCTAACATTTTTTTATGTTGACAGATAGTAACTACTCTAGTTGGGGTAAGCATTTAATAATGTAGATAGCTGTCCAATCACTATATTGAATACCTAAAATCAATATAAATTATGTATCAACTATGTTTCAATTTTAAAAATATGGATTTTTTAAACTGTATTTTCTCCAGTGTGTTTATATTGTAATATGGTTTTATTACTGATTCTTTTCACTTAGTGACATATCATAAACATTTTTCTATCTTAATAAGTGTTTTTATCACATCATTTTAAAGGCTGCAGAATGTGCCTTTGGGTGATGGAGCAGAATGTATTTAATCAGTATCTTGTTATTGGATAAGTGAGCAGTTTTCAATATGTCACCATCACAGCAGTTATTCAAAGGTTGCCTGTAACCAAATCTTTGCACAGAATCTTGATTCTTTCCAGTGGGGAAACTGCTGAATCAAGGCTATGTACATTTTGAGGCTTTTGATAAGCACAAAAAGTCTGCTTTGATACATTCTGGAATTTAGGGGATCCCAAACTCACTCTAAGAAACTTTTTCATAGCCTCCAAGCCAGCACTGACCTTTCCTGTCTCTCAAATCCATTTGCAGTGATACTGCCAACCACCTCATATATAGTCGTTAGTGGGTGCCAGGCTCTATCTAAGAGCTTTACCCTCTGATGTCTTACCTTTTTGTAAGAAGAAACTGAGGCAGAGAGAGGTTAAGTAACTCAACTGAAATCACAGCCTTAGAAAGCAGTGGATCTGGTGTGGCTAACTTAGCCCCAGAATCTTTACTGTCCACTGCTTCTTGGAAAGCATTCCTTTTTTTTTTTGAAGCAGAGTGAAAGTTTTATTTAGTTACTTAAAGAGGGAAGTGCAGCAGGCAGCCTCAGCAAGGAGAGTCGCCTTGAAAGGTTTGGAGAGACAAAGTTTAAGATTAAAAGGTTACACACTTAGAAAGTGCGGACGACCTCAGAGAGAGGAGCCTCCTTGTTTTAAAATTGAGATATAATTGACATATAACATTGTATTAGTTTTAGGTGTACAACATAATGATTTGATACATATATATGTATATATATAGTGAAGTGATCATCGAATAAGTCTAACATATAGTCACAAAGTTTTTCTTTTTTATGATGAGAACTTTTAAGATTTACTCTTAGCAGCTTTCAAATATATAATATTGTTAACTATAGTCACCATGTTGTACATTAGATCGCTCAGGACATATTTATTTTTATAACTGAAATTTTGTTTCCTTTGACCACCTTCACCCATTTCATTCTGCACCCCCCAATCCTGCCCAGCTCCTTAACACTGGCAATCAACAATCTGTTCACCCTATCCATGAGTTCCACTTTTTCAGATTCCTCATATAAGTGAGACCACAAGTATTTGTCTTTCTCTGCCCAAACTATTTCAGTTATTACAATGTTCTAAAGGCCCATCTATACTGTCACACATGGCAGGATTTCCTTCTTTTTTATGGCTGAATAATATTCCTGTGTGTGCACATGTGTATATCACATCTTTATTCATTCATCTGTTGATGGACACTTAGGTTGTTTCCATGTCTTGGCTATTGTAAATAATGCTGCCTTACCTTCCATTCCTCCAGAAGCTTGTACCCTTCTCTGCTCCTACAGCCCTGAAGGCCATTCTCCAGGACCCACATTCAAGGCCACTGCTCCAGCCTTGTCCTCACCTCATCTCGAAATCTCAAGATCTAGTGTCCCAACCTCCTACTCCGATGGCCTATCTTTCCAGCTCTTCCTACCTTTCTCCCAGTGCACTTGCTCCTCACACCAAGATGTCACACTCTCAACCCCCAACTCCCCATTAAGACCGGCTGACAGGTTTTCTTTTTTAAATAAAGTTAATCTTTGTTTTTCACAACAGGGTTTCTATTCTTAATTCAAATCATTAATATGCCTGGGATTAACTGGAAAATTTTTTGACATTCCACAAATTTATCTGAATTTCACACAAGAACCCAGTGTCAACCAATGTGTATACAATGGCACTTAAAATTCATTTTTTTTTGTCCCAGGGATGGTGTTAAGAGCTTTCTGTACATAACCTTAAGACGCATCACAACCATCTCAGGTACTCTCCCCACTTTACAACTGAGAAAACGGGCTTAGATAAGTTAAGCAGCTCGTTTATCGTCACCTAACTAGTAAGTCTAGAGTCCAGAGATTGACCCAGACAGCCCAGCTCTAAACCTCTACATCGTTCCATATGAAGTCCTAACAACACAAGAAATAAGCAATCTTAATGTAAGAAGCTATTTTTGTCCTTGCTTCAATATTACTGGCATTGAGTATTAGTTGTAAGGTTAAGCTCTGGTTCTAATTTTTATGCTGAGAGTATGAAAACTATTTTGTTTCTTTTTAAAAGTATTGGACAAGATTTACCATCTATTTTAAAGAAATGTTTTTCGAATTTAAAAGTTAATGAAGTCAGACCAGGAAGGAGGCACACTTGGAGCTGAAGAAATTGGCTGAATGAAATGGAAAAAACCATTATCTGAGTTGTTTTTGTTGACCATTTCCGGTTTTACCTAGGTAACATTTCTTCATTCCCACAAATAATGTTTGAGTCATTAAAGGTTCCCAGCCCAGATTCTGTTGTATTTTTAATAACAGCTCCTTAAACAGCAAATAACAAAAGTTACCTTATTTCATCTGTGAAAAAGTAAAAAGTAATGCTAATGTGACCTATGCAGCTTCAGCCACAGCTCTAATGTTAAGATAGTCTGTGAGGCTAAATTAATGGAATATTGAAAAGTTCCGTGGTTAAGAGTGCCAGCTCTTGAGTCAGTGGATCTGCCCCTGGATCTTCTGGTGACCAGGTCATCAGTCACACGACTTTGGGCATATTATGCAATCTTCCTGGGTTGCACTTTTCTCACCTGCAAAGTGGGACTTATATGCCTTAGCTTTACCTGTGGTGAATTTTAAATGAGATAATATACGTAAAATGCCCAGCACAGTGCCTGGCACATGTAAGCATTCATTCAATGAATTATCATTGCCATTATAATCATCATGATAGCAAATGAAAAGTGTCACCCCCACTGCAACTGCCAAGCTTAAATCTAAAATTTTACATGTGTTTATATTTTATTCTTTGGAAGAAAGGCTACCAAGTCAATTGCTACCAAATTTTAAATCGGATCATGCTGGAAATGATATTTAACTTATTGAAGTGAATTGCCAGAACTCAAACACAGTAAGACAAATTTTAGGAATTAACTTGTGGGATTATTAATCATAAGTAGATTGCAGATGTTTATTAAAGTAAAATTTTGTGTCCACAAAAAGCTTAGGAGTATTCCAAAGCAGAATCCAGAAACTGTAGAAACTCTAACTTTAGAAACTCCTGAAAACACCTGAAGAAAAGGCAGCTCCTGTGGAAGACTTGGCAGGTATCAGAGAGCTCCTGGAAACACCAAAAGGAACAGGGACAAATAAATGGAGATAATTTCCACAGAGAGCTTAGGAGCACGCCAAAGCACAAACCACAGGCAGCAAACACTTAAGAATCCTCACCAGAAGGATGAGGACAGCTAAAATAAAACCAGAACCGACGGAAAACATGCAGTCATCAGAGAGCTCCTGCAAACACCAAAGAACCAGAGGAACAAATAAATGATGATAATGTACACAGAAATCTGAGGAATGCTTGAAAGAAGAATTCAGAACCAGTAGAAAGATGGAGGCTGCTGAGAACACCTAAGGTAAAACCCTTGGAAGCCTTGCAGTTATCAGAACTCCTGCAAACACCAAAGAACCAGAGGAATAAATAAATGGTGCTGATGTCCATAAAAAGCTGAGAAACACTCCAAGGCACAAAACAGAGTCAGCAGAAAAATCTAAGTGCAATGCATAGGAGACTTCTGGGGACAACTGAGGAATAAGCAGACTAGGTGGAAGAAGATCTGACAGGCATCAAAAAGGTTTTAAAAACACCAAAGCAAGCAGTATAGCCAGAGAGCAAAAGCTACCAGAATGCTCTATGTCCCAAGTGGAAACATGGAAAAGGTGAAAACCTCACAGGTATCAAGGGATTGTTTAGGATGCCTAAAGGAAAGAAAGATCCAGTGGAAGACCCAACAGGAACCAAGGGCCTTAGGAAAACTCCACAGCAAATTGTGGATCCAGAAGATAAGACAATCAACAAAAACTTGGATCTCTCCCAGCAAGAAATGTCAGTCAGCTGAAATGACATCAAGAAACTTCTGAGAATTTCTGTGGAAAAACCTGGACCCATAGAAGACCCATTAGACACCAGCAAACAAGACTCCTAAAGAAAAGGGAAACCAAGTAGAAGACTTGGCAGATGTCAAGAACCTCAGGACAACTCCAAAGCAAAGAGGTGAGTCGACAGAAAATCCTACAGGTGTGAAGAAGCTTAAGAAAACCGCAAAGGTACATTTGGTGGATGGTCTGGCAGACGTTAACAATACTTATGGCAACTCCAAATTCTAAAAACTTGCTCACAGGAAACCCTTAGTAAGGATTCAGATACATGAGAGAAATTACAATAAAAACCTAAAACATCTATAACAAAAGATGTGAAAATATTGCTCAAGAAGAACCAAGTAATAGAAAAAATGTTAGAACATACACAGAGTGTACACGTTTTTCAATCAAAAGATGTAGAAGACTATACAAAACTTTTAAAAAATTACCAAACAGAAGAAAGAAAAGAAAAATGAAGTTGTAGACTTCTTAGTCTGCAAGTATTTATGGCAGAATCCAAATAAAAGATACGATGCTTGCCTACAGTCAATTTGAAGAAATGTTTGACTCTGAAAAAAAATAAGAATAGACCAGGAGATGTCCTTGACCAGGAGTCAAGAAAAATGCTCTTGTAATCTTAATGAATATGAAACCAAAACTAATGCCCCTGAAACTGAAGGTGTGGCCAAAGAACATACGAAATAGAGTTAGTCAAACAACAAGACCTACCCTAAGAAAACAATAGAGATTTTCAAGAATCTAACTATATGTCTTGTCAAACAGATAAGTGTGCAGAGATGCATGTAAAGAAATATGGGCTTAATTTTCAAGAAAAGCCAAGTCAGGGAAATGTCCCTTTATCCCAAACCCAGGTACAGAACTGATACTAAACTCAAGAGTCTCAGCTGCTTACATCAACAGAAAAGATTCAAAGAAAAGAATGATGAAAAGAATCCTGTGAAGAGCTTCCAAGAGAAAAACTCGGCAGAGGGAACTATGACATAAAAGACAGACTGTAACATCAGAGCAAGAGGTAAAACTGGTATAAATCTACAGGAATCTGATACAGCTGCAACTATGAGCTGGTTCACCAGGGGTTCTGCACATGGAGAAAGGTGACAGACCAATGAAGAGTTTGCAAGAAGAAAGTTAAATAGACAAATTAAGATACTTTAAGGAACCAGGAAAACAATAAAAATTAATTTTTATCTGGTAAAATCTTTGGTCAATAAAAAAGAGAAAATTCACATAAACCAAAATAAAATAGGAGTAAATCCAGAAGATTCCAATCCTTTGATGAAACAAGTGCAGCCAACAAAAAGGCAGAAGACAAATTCTGAAACAATACAGTAGGGTTTCTTCAAGATAATATAGAAGCAAGAATAAAAGAAATGTGAAGTTAGAGGTATCTTCAAATCTACTCAGTAAAACAGATACCACACCAGAGGAAGCTGAAGAGGAGCCCATGCAGAAAATCCGTGAGAATGTAAAAATGATACAGCTATCAATTGTAAATTACACTATCTTTGAGATCTAGAGGCTGGAATAAGGTCTTCCCTACAAAGATGGAAGGATTTCATCTTTTATCTAGTATAACAACAAAGTGTCTGTGAGCAAGAATGAGGAGAAAAGTTAACCATTCCTCAGATAAAATGACAAACACAGAGGAAACCACAAAGATGCCTGTGAGAAAAAAATCTAAAAGCAGGAAGATACATAGTCAATGGAAAAATAACACACTTGAGGTTTGGAAGCCAAAATAAGGTTCTTGTCACTACTATGATGCAAGGGTCTAATTGTTTGCCTTTATAAATACGGCAGAGAACACTTCTCTAGGGAAAGATGGGGAGAAAACTGCAGACAATACCTCCAGAAAAACCCAGGTGAGGGAGCAAAAATATGAGGTAAATCATCATATATCATGTTTGAGATCTAGAAAAATTAAAATCCTTGCTAGAGACATGCATTACTTGTCCAGTATAACAGAGAATTTCTCAATACAAGAACAAAGAGAAATGTGTTCATAGTGCTGTAGTGGACAAAAAGGAAAAATCACTTGGCTAACAACTGTACACTAACCACTGTAAACTACAGAAGTGAGATGCAGAAAGGAAACAAAGGAAACACTTGAAAAATACTGTTTTACCAAAAAAAGAAAGAAAACTGTGCAAAAGGCCAAGCCATAACCAGTGATACTAAATCACAGCAAAGATAACTCGGGAGCTCGAAGGGTTGTGTGTGGAAGGATATGTCTACAGAAATCCAAATCAGGATAAGAACAACACACAAAGAAGGAAAATAAGAACTAGAAGATATTAAGACAATGAAGATACTTACATAAATTGAAGAGGCAAAAGAAACGATCATCTTTAGTTTGATGGCAAGCACAAATTTTTGCCACAAAATTACAAGTGAATTCTGTAAGTAAAAGAAAATAAATTAGGTTCTATATGTACTTAAACAAATTCAAAGTACTAGTTTTGTTTGACATTTTATTATTTTGTAGGCAAAATTTAAAAAAAGAATTAAGACATCCTTTCCGTCCATAGGGTAGAAAGGATGTCTTAATTTCTTGCAATTAGACAATCACTGATTCATTATTTGGTTGATAAACTACCTTCCCTTACTCCACCATTTATTACACTTTTCACCAATAGATGAAAGGAGAATGACAAGTAAATCATAAACTGGTGAGGTCAGATATAAACTTGCCAAATACTCTATTATTGATAGGCTGTCTGCAACTTACAGAGAGAGAGTTAATGTTGGGCTGCTCAAAATAAAGCAATTCATCATTGTTTCAATCTGGAAACCCAAATTAATTATGATTCATGAAATTTTTACAAATGCAGAATATTGTATAAATCTGAACATCATATTCATGTTTATCACATGTCACTTTCAGCCCTGAATTGTTTCCTTTGTTAATTCCACTTGAGAGAAACTGTATACACGAAGTACAACACTAAGGTACTTAGCATATTGCCTTTTAAACTGTTGAGGCCATTTCCTTAGTATTCCCTTTGGCCTTTACAATTGAATCTTGTTTTCCTTATATAGTGCACCTCATGCCCTTTGGCATATATGCCAATGCCATTTTCCATGGTGGAAGCACACTTACATTTGCAGAATGTGGCAATTAATGGCCTCATAAAACTATCATCCTATCTCAAGAAGGCATTTTTCCCCTTGGCTATGCTATTGAATGCCAATAACAAATTGCTTTTAAGCAACTGGTGAATATATATATATACGTATATATGATTTAGAAATCAATCATGTTTCTCACATTTTGGGGGGATTCTTAACATACCTAGCACTATTATTTCCCTACTCATGAGAAGTCAGTGAAAATAAAACATGCTTGAATTGTCTTATTATGTGAATTAGCATGGTAACTGAAAACCAGGAGTGAAGGCTCAGTTAGCACTGGAGAGCCTGGCACTCCCATGGGGGTTTGGTTAAGATGTGTATGTATGTATGTAACAGCCTTGCAAAAAATCAGTCACAGACCACCTATATGTGGTCTACAAGTATATATAAAAGAATATTAAAAGTAAGTAAAATCAGCATCTCATCATGAATTATTTTCAGGTGAAGAGAACTATTTTCTACTAGTTGTATGTAATAACTTCCAGGTCAAAGGTGTTAGATTGAACACCCAGACACTGCCCTTAGTGCTTAAATAATGTTTCTGCCCAGGTATCTAGTGCTGTGAACACATAGGTTCTGTGTGTATTAACATGGTATGTCATATTTGTGTGGGTGTGTTACCATGAGACATGTTCATTTATTGCTAACAGAAATAGTTTTAAATGATTTTTTCCCCACAAAATTATGCCTGAACAAAACGTTGCTAGGTAAATCAAGGAACTACAAGAAAAAAAGTGAAGTCCAACTCATTTTTATTGGACTGAGGGATGCGAATAAAAGCTTGTGTGGTATGTAGAAAAAAAAACAAGTGTAAAACTTGTAATTTTAAAATTCACTAGGCTCTCATTGCATGATTGGTGTCACATTATAGACGGCCTTAAAAGAATTTTAAGGAGAGAAATGTTCCATAGTTGATACAAGGGAAACATATTTGACTCATTTTAAAAGTATATTTTTACAAGATTCTGTTGTAAAGTTCAAGATGTTCATAGTAACAACATATAGGATATATTTTGTATATGGTACTTGAATATTTATGTTGATGTTTCAGATATGGGTGAATTTTAAGAAGTATCTAAAACAGTATACCCTCAAACAATAAATCATTTAAAAGAATATGGCAACTTTTCAGTTTGTTTGAATGGTGGGTGGTATTGATAGCCACATGTAACTAAAATTTATGGTGTTTGAGCAACATTTTTATATGTGATCATTCAATATAATGTTCTTTCATTAAATCTTGTGCCATTTTCAATTGATAGAGCCTCAACTGATGCCTTTTCCAATTCACAGCTTGAAATTGCTTTTAAATGACAAAGATAAACATTTCATATTTTAATACACTACCATATAGACACAGATCTAATACAGTTTGTACAGAGCAATATTTTAATGTTTTTCTATGTTTTAACACATTTCAAATTATTTTCTTTAATGACAGGGTCATTAGCTTCTAGAAGCTGAATAAACCATTCTCTTCTATTACAATTCAGACATTTTAAGATTTCTCAGAACTGTCAGACTTTTTCAATCAGCTTTTAAAAATTTAAAGTAATCAAATAACTTTCTTTTAATACAATTCAGATATTTTAAGATTCCTCAGGACTGTCAGACTTTTTCAATCATAAGAACAATGTTTCTAGATACATGTGTGAGGTCCACAAGTGTAATCATTCGTAATGGAATAGTCATCTGTCCCCAAGCAAAGAAACCTTTATAATTTTTCTTTTCTTTTCATGATAATTATAAACTGTAATAATTACATGGTCTACAATGTGTATATTGTACATAGACAATGTGCACATGTACATTATACATAATGCATTTTAATATATTACTTTATATTACCTTTTGCTTAAAAGACATTTCATAGAATGGTAGAACTGATACAATAACACTTAATTTTTTCTTAAGGTAGGTTGACTGATTCCTCCTGTAGTACATTACTTGCACAATTATGGCTCTAAACAAAAGTTACGAGGCACAAATTCTTATGTTCTGCCTCATGTTTGTGGAATGTATTCCAAATAAAAAATGGAGGGGAAAGTGCATGACATCATGCTTCATGGTATGGCATATATGTACCAGTCATTTTTACATATAACTATGTGAGGAATGATAGATTTAAGACCTAGACTATAATGTAGTTATAAAAAGTTATATATTATGCCACAGTACTAAAAATAAAATATATTCTTCTCAAATAGTGAAAATAAGATATCCTTCATGTTTTTTATGTCACATATATTTTCTCATTTGACCATGCCTCTTGTTTTTCCCATTGTAAATGAAATAATGCCCAACATTTTATTAAACAAGAACTACAGAGTGTGAGCAATTTCTGGGCCACTGATAAAAGAACTACCTTATCATTAGTTGAAGAAATACCCTCCTGAGGTGTTCAATCCATGGTAAAAATATAAAAATAAAAGACAAATAAATATAAATATCTTCTCAGTTATTGAAAAATCAAAAGCCCAACTGTATTTTATTACCAGTATGGTCTTGGATATACATAATTGCTGTATCTTGAATTGGTACAGCAGCTAACCAGCTATCACGGGCGACCCCCACCGAAGTGAGCCATCAGCTGTGACTGCGCTTGGCTAGGAAGACACAGAAGGGGTGTTTGGGTTATCCGCCAGGAGGGATTCGATCACACCGAGGTGCTGCTCTCCCAGACCTGAGCGCTCCAGTGTCCAGTGGCGGCTCGCCCCTCCGGCGCCTCGCCCTCCGCCCATCCTGGGGGGCCGCGACCTGTGCAGGGGAGAGGGAACAGAGTGGAACTGCGTCCTTTCCCCCTCGTCCCCTAAAGGTTACTGCCCTTCTCCCGACGCTCTCAGGGGCTCACGTGTTCTCTTTGATTCGGGAAGCAGGCACTTACGAGTGGGTGAACACAATCCGAGGCGAGGCTGAGGGTGGGCACGTCCTTCAAAGTTGCGCTCCGGGCTCGTGCGCTCTGTTGCCCGCGCCGCGCGTGCTTAATGTTTCCTTGAACCGTCTTAAACGTAGGGAAACTTAAGATCCCGGGAAAGCGGACGTTGGAGGGGGTGGGAGGATGACCCCAACCCAGTCGCAGGGCGATTAGGCCCGGTTGCCAGGCGGGGCCTGAGGCAGTTGGTGGCTGCCGCCGCCGCCCCGACCGTGGCGTCCCACACGCAGCCCCCAGCCCCGTCCCGTCGCGCGGTCCTCGAGCGGCCGCGGGCGCTCATATGAGCGGGAAGCGGCCCTCGCCGCCGTCGGACTCCCCGGAGCCGCCGCCTCGCGGGTGGCCGAGCACCGACACGGGCAGCACGACCTCCCCGGGGCTGAGGTGCTGTAGTCGCATGGACTCCTCATAGGTTGGCAGGTACTTGACTTCCTCGTAGCTGGGCAGCTGCAGGAAGACCGGCGAGACTACGCGCAGCTCGTGCTCCGAAGCGCAGGGTGGGGCCGAGCGCCCGCCCCGGCCCCCGCCGCCGCCGCCACTGTCCAGCAGCGAGTCCTGGGAACCCGCGGCCGCCTCGTCGCGCAGTAGCGCGGGCGAGGTGTCGTCGTCGTCGTCGGGCGGCCCCGCGGCCCCCGGCGGCCCGGGCCGCGCCTGCCCGCGCGGGTACCTGCGTGGACTGGGGCAGATGATGCGCTGCAGGAAGTAGCCGATGGCGAAGAGCACGAGCAGGATGAGCAGCCCGGACAGCTTGCGGACGAACCAGCCCACGTTGTCGAGGAAGGCGTGCAGCGGCAGCTTGCAGCAGCGCACCGCGGTGGCGTTGGCCGCGTCGCAGCAGCGCTCCCGCTCGCCGCACGCCAGCTCGGCGCAGCCCCCGCCGCCCCGCGAGGGCGCCGCCAGCGCCAGCAGGAGCAGCAGCGGCGGCAGCGGCGGCGGCGCCACCGACAGGCCCTCGGCCGTGACCGCGGGGCCCCACATGGCCGGCGCAGCCCGTCGCTCCTGTCCGGGGCGGGGGGCCGGGGGATCCGTCTGTCCGCGCGTCCGTCGGCCCCGCCCCGGGCGCTCCGCTCGGGCCCCGCGCGCCGCCTCCAGTGCCGCCGCTACCTGCGGCCGGAGCAGCCCTCACTTGGCCGCGCTCGGGCGGAAGGAGGAGCCCGAGGCGCGCCGCAGCCGTGGGAGGCGGTGGCTCCGAGCAGCCTCCGGAGCTCTGACCTTAACCCCGCGCCTAGCCTCCCGGGCCGGGCGCGGGGCGTCCGGAGCCGCCCGAGACGGCAGAGGCGGCCTGCGCGGCGCGGCCGCGGGCATCTTGGCCGCGGCCGGCCGCGCTCTCCCAGCCCCCGGTCACCGTCCGGGCCTGGAAGGGTTAAGGCTCCGCGCCCAGCCCGGGGGCCCCCAGATCTAGATGAATTCGGCTGCCGCGCACTTCCCCGCCAGACGGGCGGGGGCTGTTGCTCGCGTAGGTGTCTCAGTTTTAAGTGATTGGATTTCTCCAGGAATGTTATTTAAATTGACTTGCGTCTGGGATTCGCTTACCATGCCTCTTGTGATCTTTCTGATTAAAAATGGATGATGGCCATTAATGGCTAGTGCAGTCCCTCAGCCGTCCCAGAGCTTGGGGGTGGTAGGGGCCCCCGGGTGGTGGGGGCTCCCGGGTGGTTCTGCTTCAGGCAGATTCAGGGCCCGGGAAGCCTGGCCACCTGGGAGAACTCCAGAAAAAGAATCCCCCCAAGAGGCTCAGGTTACCGCACCACCGGAGTATTCCCAGACGTGTACAGGAGACTTCCACCAAGGTGACCCGAGCTGACCAAAGAGACGAGAGGGGGCCCATTTTTCCCCAGCGACTCAGGTCATAAGCCCCCATCGCACCCAAGGCACAGAGCAAGGATTTGGGTTTGGGGGTAGTAAGAGGCCTCTCCTCCGGCATAAATAACACATCTGTGAAATGTCAAAGGGGAGTTGTAAGTGGATGGCAACGTTTCTGAGAATTGATCTTCATCTAAGGGGTCTTTTTAAAAGGTTATTCTTGTTTACAAAGTTTGTCTTTTAAAGGGAATCTGATTAGCACGTGGGGTAAAGTACCTTTCCTTGAGGTCACTACTCCTGGGGGAAGCCCCTTAGCAAACAGGGAACATCCATAGAGGGATGGCAGTTAACACCCTCCAGGACCCTAAGGCCCAGTATCCGGTGGTGCCTTAAGCAGCTCCTTAGAGCGACATTATGGAGAAACGCATTTATTAGGCAGGCTGAAACGGACAATCATCTTTTTAGGATTAGTGTTTATTCAGCCTCTCATCCCCTAAACACTAGTACTGTGACAGAGAAATTAAACGGGAAATTCCAGTCATTAAGAGAAAAAAGTAAAAGCAAAGAAAAAACATAGAGACACATGATTCAGCTGTTAGCTAAAAGAAAGATTTCTTTCCCTATAAATCACACAGTATCTCCTGAAAGCCTTAAGGACCAAGGTTAGGGGTGGTGGCTTGATTTAAATAGGTCATTGCCCCACCTAAATGAAAACATTCAAAATATTTCTGCTGCTGGGAACGGTTTACTTTGCCTCACGCTGCAAAACAATCTTTTCTTCTCATGGAGAATTTCCTAAGTATCACTGAGACAAGCTGCTTCATGTGAAGTTTGTTGAGCACAGGCCCCCTCTTCTAAGCTCTCCTAAAGCCACACGGTTTCTGGGGGGGGGCCAAGGTCTATTTCTCTGTAGAGTGGTCTTAAACCTATTTGGTAAAGCCTGATTAACAAGAGGTTTCAAATTGTAGTAAGATAACAGGATGGAAAGGATTCATTTTTAAACAGTAACAATTGTATTATTCTTTCATTCACCCATTCTTTTGCCAAATTTACATTGGACATTTTCTATATTCGAGGAACTCTGCTAGATGCTCATCATTATAGAGACAAAAAAAATTCCTCCCAAGCGTAGAGTAAACCTAGGTCTGCACTCCCAACTGCTACTAAATGGAGTAAAGGAGAGATTCCACAGAGGGACACAAATGGCAATTTCCTCTCAGTCATGACTGAGTCTGACTTTCCCCAAAGAAAAATAAAATTAATGAGTTTCAAACAATCTCAAGGAAGAAGGCAATTCATAGGCTTAAGATGGGCTATGAGTATGAAGTTGAAAAAAATATAAAGACCTCAATGTGCTTTTATTATCTGATGTTTAAGGATTTCTACTAAGAGTAGTAGGAGCAATGGCAGAACTAAGAGTTTTATGGTTGATCACACATAGGTGAAGGTACCTTGCTTACTGTTATTTGAAATTACTGAACAACGGCATTTAAATTGTTTAATTTCTGTTTGCCTCTAAGGAGCTAGAATTTGTAGAATATCAGGGCACAGTAGAACAACATAGATCTTACATAAAATAAGACAACAAAGAGCTTGTATAAAATAAAACCTATATGAAAACAAAGAAAAGGATGAGGTCTGCAAAAAGAGTTTGGATTGGATTTTTATTTGATTCATTTATTTCCAAATTGATAACCCCAAAGCATCATCCATTAAAGACCCTCTACAGAAACTGGCGCCTCTTTATTTCTGCCCTGATCTCTCAGTCTCACTTAATTCATTTTTATTTGCAATGTGATTTATTGTGAACAACCTTTTGAAGGAAAGAAAAGAAACTCTATAGCTTTAAAAGCCCCAGAAAAGACATGCTCTTCATTACTCAGCATCCTTATACTTTATATTTAACACACAAATGAATGGGGTTGACTTAGCTCCCAGAAAGTCATAAATTCAAGCACTTAGGAGAATGGAATTTAATTATACATTCCATAGAATAATTGAAAGATAAAGATCACAGTGCAAAAATCAACAGGAAATTTTATTTTGTTGAAATTGGCACCTAATTGTGTGTAAATACATGTATGCAAGAGAAAAAAACAGATGGAAGGAAGAAGGGGACTTTTGTCCAAAAAGCATGGTCTTTTGGAGTATATAGCTTGGTAAAAATTAGGAACATTAACTGCTTTATCTTGCTATAGTGCCAGGATATTATCTTTTGAAAATTTTATCTTCCTCATTCATTTTCCCTTGCATGAATGAATGCTAAATTAGCCGTGCTTTTCAACGTTTTAGAATGGAAGAAAGTAAACAGAATGCAACAAAACTGGCTGCTGTTTCACCTATGCTTGTGAGAGCTGACCTGCTAGCTGGAGAAGGACCGCGTGGCCCCGCCATGTAGCTTTCCGTTCTATCACATGATACCTGGTCCAGAGGGAATTTCTCTCTGATGCCTCCTGACTGTAAGCTGGTGCCATCGAGCCTGGGAAACAGTAGCTCTGTCCTTTCCATGTCCCTTCTTCTAAAGATGTAAACACGGCATTTGAGACATAGTAAGCCCGCCAGTCTTATTCAGGGTGTGCAGTGTATGTATTTCCTTACTACTTATTATTAAAATTGACTTACTAACCTCCTCATTTTATGGTTTCCTCCATTTGCAATATGTCTTCCCTGAGAGGCAGTAAGTTAAGGGTTTTATTGTAAGTAGCATATATTTGCATAAATGTGTCTACTTAGAAATGATTTGTAATCTGAAGTAATCTGCTTTGAAGTTCTTTTCAGATCATATTTCTTTCATCATGTATTTAACAAATATTTAGCAAGGGCCCAATCTGAGCTAGGCATTCTGCTCTGTTCTGGGGATATTTGAACTCAAACTGCTCCCTGTCTTCAGGGAGCTGACCGAGGAGGGGTGAGAACAACAGACACTAGTGTCAAATTATGAAGCATGAATCCCAAACAGTAATCAACAATTATACATGAGAAGGGCAGGATACTCTGAGCTTTTACACTGGCCATGATCTGAGCTGGGCTGGCATGGGGTGGCAGCTGGAAAGAACTCCTTTTAGAAGGACAAGGGGAAGCAGAAGGGTGTGTTCCAGCAGAGGAAACTTCGTGGGGACAAGTTCCCAAGGGGGGATACCCTTCCCATATCATGGCTTAGCTTGGGCAACACCTGTGTGATTTCTAACTCAACGGTGAAGACTCTCCTGGATTAACTTTAAGTAGAGTCAAGCCATCCCCACAGTTCAATTTTAAACCAAACTTGTTTCTCTGCAGGGCTCTGTGATAGGGTGTGGGACTCAAGTCACCGCTGCGGTCCTGCTCAGCTTCACCTTGGAAACCAGGGGAGTTCCAGCATGTTCCCTGTTCTCTTCCCCTCCATACCCCCGACTTGGAGTGGAGTTTGAATCTCTTTTCAGCTCTATGAGTTGTCAGCTTTCTGACAAAGGGTGTCCTTAAGCCAAATTTTGGCAGTAAGAGAAAAGCCAAAGTGAGATGGTGTGCATCTTTTGTTCAAATTAGGAGCAAAAGGAAATAGAAATCTTTCTCCCATTCTTGAAGTTAGAAACAAAAGGTTGACTACTTTCAGGGCCTTTATGAGAATAATATCTACACTTATATTTGCCCTCTCAGCTTTTGAAATCACTTCTGCATACATTGTTTTGTTTTCTCTTTACGACATTCCTGTAAGATGGGTTGACGTTACTATCATCCCTTTTCCCAGCTGAAGAGAGGTTAAAACACCTGAATCACAGAACAAATTGGTGGCAGTGCTGAGACTGGAATCCAAGTCTAGTTAAAGGGGTGGGCAAGCATCTCACTCCCTCACTGACTTGGGCCTGGCCAAAGGGACCCCTATGCTATGCAGGGGGTGGGGTGGGGACTTGTCTTCCCTCTGACCACTTTTGATGCATTCGATGCAGTCCAATTATAAGGAAAATGAGAGAGTCAAGCTGGACTACTCTAGATCATGAATATGAGATTCTTCTGAGGAAATAATTTCTGTCACTTTTGTGGTCACTTTCAGTCCCATTAATAATGGTTTAGGTAATAATATGACAGGCCAGCTATTCTTATATGCATTTCTGCAAACAAAAAGTAAGTTCCTTTCCTTTGTGACATTAAGTTCCTTACACATGCACTAAGCCATCTAATAATGCTCATCAATATGTTCCTGGTATATGCTCAGGAAAAAAGGATCTATTGGGTTCTGAAACATGAACATATAATATTATTTATCACTGACTTAACCTTCTCTATTTAAATTTTGATTTATAACAAGGTATCCGTTAATTTCTCATGGCAAACTTTCTC